AGGACTGTGTTCTGGGTGAGACTAACTTGAATTTGCTTTCAGTGCTCACCACGAGGAAACAGAAACAAAGAATTTGCATACTAATAGTACAGCTGGGCGACCTGTCCTCAACCTAAGCCCTAACTGGCTCTTTGTTTAAAACAATGGCATCTGAAGTGGTATACACTGCAGGTGACTAATTACCGATACTAGATTATAATGTGACAGAAGGTAATGGAACGTTCTAGAAATTTGTAGTAAGTACCAGACTTATTATGTATGCTGATGTAATGGTCTATTTATAGACAGTGGGGGTATATATAGGGGAGTTGTTCAGCACTGAGTTCAGATCGGAGATCTCGTTGAATTGTGTTGGAGTTTAAGTATCTAGTTATTGGAGTAGTGGAGTTTTACCGCGTTATTGTACTTGATGTTTGCAGAGTATAATAATACCAGTACCAGTTGAAACCTCATCTGTTGGCTCCGTGTTCGTATGTTATCATCGCCGCCAGGGAAGTCTTTCTGTTACTGTTGCCATTTTGGTATATGAACCATCACACATGTACTATACCAATTACGGTAATATTACGTTGCGTGTGACACATACAACATTGCGATACTAACTGTGAAGACATTAACGAACGTGCATTCTCGCCACTGAACAGAGACGTACACCCACTTATTTTCTGAACGATGTCAACGACCACCCCTTCTCCGTTATTACAGTGCAGAATATGTTCGACCATAAATTTCAATAAATTACGCAGATGCGACAGATAGAATTTAATTACTAGTATGATTAGGAATTAAATAGGAAATTGTTTCCCTGTGGTATCCACATTTACAGCTATATTTAATTTCTGATGGAGCGTGCTGTTAATAACCATAATTAGATTATAATAAACTTAGTAATTTTCACCTCGTTTCGTATCACCAAATAAGCATTAGTTGTACAGCATGGCACTGTGCGTTGATAACACCAGGTGGTCGTTAGAAGCGCCAGCAATAGAACATATTACAGCACCCCCACTGACGTATAAGTAATACAATTACCGTGTAACGTGTGATTATTGCTCTAAACTGCCGTATTTTCCGATAAAATGGGGCAACAGCGAACAGCGAAAGCATACGCATTGGTAATCGTGTTTGTGCCTGGCTAACAGCGAGGTCATGATAATGATGATGAGTTTGTTGTTGAATTTGGTCGCTTGACGAGTTCAAATGTTGAATACCTTTCTGACGTAGCTAAACTATCAAGGATACGATACGGTGTTATGATTATATACATTTTTTAAAACAAATAAATATATATAGTCACGAGACTCATCGTCAAATATCCAGAATATTCTGTTCACAAAAAATGATGAATTTAGATTACCTGTTTGTTCTTCTGACATCGTTGTTCTCTATGATGACGTCAAGGGGAAAGTAGACAAGTAGCCAAGTGTGTCTCGGCAGTATCTGATGACGTGCTACGACCTATGACGATAATGTCAATTTTACTCTGCTGGTACAAATAACATTAGTCACGTGACTTTTATTTTTGTTGATTAAAATGCACAAGTACCTGCATGTTTCAGAGATGGTACTCTAACAACTATGAGGGCGCTCGACGTGATACCGAAAATAACTATACAAAATAATGTTATTGTTTTATTGTTTATAAAGACTGAGAATGCAAACGAATACAGGTATCGCCTGCCACGTCACATTCCACACAGGAACCGGAAAAAGAATAAGATAACGATCACACCGTCACAGCATTTCTATGGATACCAATTATTTGATTTTCACTGATGTAATCAGGAGTATGAAGGTACTTTTAATAAAATCGCGATGGTGAATCGCATTGGAGTTATTAAACGACGTACATACACACAACGAAAATCACATCAAATTAGTTGTGAACCAATGAATGCATAAACAGCTGTGTCATAAATACACATGCGTACCCAAGAACGCGTGCTTGTTTTACAGTTTATTCTTTTTACTTTTTGTGCGTGTATTACGTATTGGCTCAACATGCCTCAGTAGCCATCGTTATACCGTCATGCGAAGATGTTTAAAGACATTTTAGTAGATAATCCATTTTCATTGATAACCACGTTTTTGGAGTACACAGAGAATGACGCGATCTACCATACACTGCATGATGGTTCCCCTTACGCACTTTGATTAAGGGTACGTAGCAGTAATTCAAAACGCGTGCAGCGTCTGTCCAGTTCATTTCAAAGCGAATGATATTGTGGACGGCCGAAATAAAGTTTTCCATTTGCGGTGAGGCGCTACATAACACATTAAATGAGGTAAAAATACGCGTTATCTGTATTTCCACTTGCCATAACAGTTACTGAGGAGATGACGGGTAATTGCTTCATTGTCCGATGCACCACTGATCGGCTGACTCCGTGATTTCAGTACCAACCAGAATATCGTGTTGATCGAAAGGTTTGGTGGAAAATCCAACTAAAAAAAAAAGTAGAAAAAAGCAACGACGACCGAGAAGATACACCATCCAAACATGTAGCGAACACTAGAGGGCCGCTTGGGATAATGGGGCACGTCGTCATTCTTTAGACAACGTTCGCTATTAAAAATACAATGTACCATTGAAATTAGACCTCTCCAACAATCTATAGAAAAGCGTTGAAAAACATCATTTCACGTAAATAATGTCTTTAATTCAAGAATACATCAATACGTATTTGATTAGTTTCTGGGTAACCCATTCTACCGTCATACCAAGTTGCTGGATGTATGCACAAGAAGCAAGAAGATTCATATTCTTGACTGAACTGATAGGAAAAAGTGTTTCATTCTAAGAATCAGTGACTTTTGTCTTACTGTTGGCCTACATTGAGGAACGACTACGAGGCCTTTACCGCACATTTTTACTTACCGGTACTAGTATTACAAATTTGGCAAGTTTTGGATGCAATTTTTTACTGCGGCCCGTCACGGGTTGTGTATTATCACAGCGTACGTGTAATGCTTTTTGTATAAAAGGGCAATAGGCAAATGGCCCGTAGAAATTGTGCCTATTTAGGTACATATCATAGGGGTGCATTCAACCACATACCACCTACTTAGCTTGTTATTAAACATGTATTGTATTGAAACGCAGACCACTAAAGATTGAAACAAAGAGTTTTCTAGTAAACGGACATCACTAAGAACAAAGGAACTAGTAAACGGATATTGTTTGGAGCCGTCCTAGCATGGACCTGTTGGTAGTCCATGACCCTAGTAAACGCTGAACGAAAACTGTCCGCGAAAGTTAGTGGACTATTAAAACAATAGCACGAGCCAAAAAGTAGTATCCTTATGGCCAACAAGAAGCGCTACATCACCAGAGGGCGCAAGGCGGTATAAACCTCATGTACATGGTTGTACAATGTGTGTGTAAAGCGATTCTTTCAGCCAATCACTGTATTACCATTAGTCAATAATCATCTGTATTACCCATAAATCTCCACGCCAAAACATACCGATTATTACGTTCCACCATTTCGGTGCTGGAATCGACAGACACTCGTGAACGTTTTTTTACGAAATAAACATAACGATTGGAAAGTTTCATAGCTTTAATGATATCATAGTAAAAACTACTCCCATATTTGAAGTATAAGCCACTGTTTCGATGTCCTTGACCCCAACTTTAAAATTTTCGTTTATTTCAGCGAAATTTATGCATTTTATTGGGCAAGAACATGTCGATTTTTGGGTCAATTTTCAACTGGCTGTGGAGCATTGCCACCCAATATAAACCCACCCCCTCCCCGCCCGAGAGCACATGGAATTGATTAAAACTCATAACATTTTCCTAGACAAAAATAACAATTATTAGGCCTTGAATCAATTGAATATTATTTTTGAGAACTTATTTGTAAAGTTACTGTACATTTATTCTAAGAAAGACACTATATATAGCATAATTTCTGTAGCATAATTTGTTAGTTGGGCAATTTTTTTCTTTAAAGAGAACACTTCACAGATGTCCACATTTTAATTTCACAAATGCACCCATCAATGGAAAAACATAAATAAAAAAAAAAGCTTGGAAAGAACTGACTGTGTGCTGACAAGTATTGGAGGCATGAAGTTCAAATAAATAATACTGTATGAGCACATCATTCAATACACATGAAGAAAAATGTCGTTGAGACTATCGATAATACATCACAAAAATTTGTAATCAATAACATATTATTATCGTTATCATTTATTGTATCTTTATGATGTGAAAGTGAACTCTGTTGACCAATCAGGACTTTTCGCGGGCTTTTACTCTCAAAAGTAGCATTCTCTATTTGTGTTGTTTTACCAATAAGCTGTCTGCTGTAAGTTTTGTCATGGAACTTTACATTGTAAACCTACATAGTTTTGTACTTGCTATTGGACTTGCACATTGTGTTAGTTAGTGTTCAGTTCCTTCAGGGATTCTGCGATAATAAAGTGTTTGAGTTTAGTAATCGTGCTTCTTTCAACCCGCAAACTGTCCATTGCGGCAGTAGTTAAATATTTTGAACCTAGCTAGGGGACCAAGTTTAACGGCAGAGTCCCAGATACTTATTCTGTATAAAGCTCTCCCCAACAAAAAAAATTGTATTTATTGTATGCAAATGTTTTATTTTGACTATAGACTTGTGTGTATCCTTTACATGCTGTGATAGAGAAAATACAACATTTAAAGCAGTTATCATGTGGCTACGGTATAACAATTATAAATATTTAATGAAATGATATTTTGGTCACATGTCTTGTATAACAACACAATTATAGTACCAGTTGTATGTCCGAATCATTAACAGTTATCATTATTACAGTTATGCATAATAATGAGGTCACATAACCACATATGGACATGTATGTTAGTCATACCTCTTGTCAAATGCCTTCATTATACATGTAGCACTGATTATGGCAACCGAGGAGGGTCATGGACATGCCATGTTTTTACGGTTTTACATTTAAAAATTTACTTTTACTTTTGAATAAGGACTCTCATTTAAAAATTTACTTTTATTTTTGAAAATAGATATTAATTTTTAATTTCACTTTACTTATGGATATATGTATCAAGTTTGAATGAAATCACATAATTGGTTCTTGTGATATCAGTGGAACACACATGCACATACAATCTGATTAAAATATGATGTAGTGTACGGGCTTTAATTATGTTGGCTATAAACTTATTTTAATTGTATGTTTTATTACTTTTGTTATTACTGCCTTTTTATTTTATTATTTTACTTTGATTTTGAATTCCGCCCTACATACATCTGATCCGACGCCTATGTAAGTCCCGTTCAAATCTCGCGCAAGTAACAGCAAATCACAGCCCCCTTGTATACAGGCTGTCGGCTGCTTACTTTTCAGTGTAGCGATACTCTACGGGCAATTTTTCTGTACATTATATTTTGCCCACTTAAATAAACCATTAATAGAAAATTGCTAGTATATTTTTATTTACAAAAGAAATTCCATAGCATTTTACAATACATCTTCGCCAGCCAAGGTTCGTTTATTCTGTCATCGCTTCAATTTTACACCAAACACTGAGAATAACTATCTAGAATGGAAGCAAAAAAATAAGTAAATCGTAATGATTAGAACACTGTAAACAGCTATAGTAAACAATGCACACTGATTTTAAATTGTATAACGGTCACCGGCCAAGGCATCAACGCAGAAAATTGGAGCAAAAAAATATTTCCTGATCAATTGTGATGTGTTCCAAATAAAAAATATTTTATTCCAGTCCAAATCAGCTCAATTACTTTAATAAAGAGTTATTGCATAATGTACAAAATGTTCAATACCGTAGACGATTTTGGCCCGATCGTCAACAAAACATCAACAGTCTCCAGGGCAAGCGAAAAAAGACACCGGTGTTCGGTTGAACCGGTGGAAACAAAATCGTCACACCCAGAATAACTACGCAAAATAACGATCTAAACTTGAATCATTCGAGCCACAATATAAACATAAAAATGACTTGCATTTGACAATGATACTTACCGAAAAGCAGTGTTTTTCTTGGTCGCTAACATCGGTATTTTATTTGAGTTTGTTTGGGACCTGACTCTTCCCGGTGACGCTATAGAATGAGGTCTGTGATTCGTTGACTAAAATCGTCGATAGTGGGTCTCGTTGAAATCTCGTTACATAGGCATCGGGTCAGACGTATGTAGGGCGGAATTAAAAAAAATCACTAAATCAAAATCGAAGTAAAATAATAAAATAAAAAGGCAGTAATAACAAAAGTAATACAAAATAAAATAAAAATAAGTTTATAACCAAAATAATTAAAGCCCGTACACTAAATCAGATTTTAATCAGACACACTAAGACTCCTATTGGAAACAGGAGTCAAAAACACTTGTATTTTTTGTTTTTATATTTGAGGTAAATTACCAAAACACAAGTTAGTATTCATGCTTTAAT